CATTGGTAAAATATTTAGATCCATTCTGGAGGAGAGGGGTTGATCAAAGTCTAAATTAAATATTACTTGATTGCTTTGTTGTTAAAATTCTTTTAGTCTCCTACGTATATGATAGAAACAAAACTGAGTTTTCTATCCTTCTAATACATTTAACAACTTTTAACATAGAGTCTGTGATTTCAGCATTTTACAAGAGCCTGAGAGTATAGAACTGCACACTCCAGTCAAATTTAACTCTGATTTTAAAAAAGTTAATTATACCTACTTACAATAGATAAGAAGCTACATGACCTTTCTGATTTTAGTTATGCTAGTAGACAATTTCTAGGCCAGATTTCATGAGAAATTTTTTGTTAACCTTTATTGCTAATGGAGTGCTATGTTTTTTCATTGCCTTGACCCAAGGACCTGGAGCTTTTCACTTTGTATTTAATTTTCCGAAAAGTGAAAGACCTGTGTAGGTAGCTTTGAGATCTAGTCTAGTTTTGATCATTAAATTATAAGCAGGTGAGCAAAAATCTTCATAAAGAATATTTTATAAGATCCTTCTGTTGTAAAAAAGGAAAATTCCAAATTCTTTTTCTTCGGTATTAACTATTATAATGCTCTTGGTGCTTACCTCATGAGAGGAAAACCAGGAGAGGCACTGGCTTGGTCTGCATGGTTGCACTTCATATGTCTCTTTTTATAGTTCCTAGTTGACCTTAGAGAGAACTTGTGTCTCAGAGAGAATGGCCACAAAGATACAGTGAAGAGAGGCAGAGGACAAATGAAGGGTCTTTATTCCAAAGCTTGGCCGTGGTCACTGATGTTTCAGAAACAAAGAAAAACTGAGCATTAATCATAGAGTCAGGGTTGGCAGATATATATCTGGAAAAACTGGAGACTGTCAAGAAAGGATAGGAATGAGGAAAGGGACGAGAACAATAGAAGAGGACAGAGGTGCTATAATTAAATGCAACTTTATCAATCTTAAGGAATTATCTAGCAGTTTGGGGAGGTTTCTATTCCTATGCAGTCTCCTAATTCCAGCCTAACTTTGCATCTGTATGTTGACTGACATAGCGAAAACATCAGCTGGGTTGAATTAAGGCTACCAGTTTACATGTCTTGAGAATATTCATACTCTCTTAACACCTTGCACGGGGATAGATTGACATTCCTTTTTCCTCTCCCATATCTTTTTTGCCTTTTCTGTGATCGCCTCCTATACAGATATAACCTGTATATAATCTATCACCTTCTTCCTGTTTCAATCTATTCAACAAAGTGAATGTTTCTTTTCTGTAGCAGTGACCACATTGTGTAGTCTCTTCAGAAACTGGCAGATTTGAGCCAAAGTTCGTTTATGTATATGAGATAAAAAGAAACATTAAGAAGAACAGTAGAATGAGGATAATGCTTATTAAAGCTGGTATAATAAAGCATTCGCTTAAGTCACTTCCAAGCCAGCCCAGCGGTATAAGACTTTGCTTTTCTCCATATTCTGTAACAAACGTTAGACTGTATGCATTTGGGGATAAGGGAGTATCTTCATCTTTGTACATCCAGTGCCTACTGTAGTTCTTGTCACTTATGTGCACAGAAAATTTTTGTTGAATGATTTAAATAATCAAATGTGAACTTACCTGAATTGTTGGAGGGATTGAATGATAGAAGGATGACACAGAAGAAAGTCTGCCCTATCTCTTTGATCACTTTTATTGACTCTGTTCTTAGACCAACCATGGTCTTTTCAGTACTATGTTGGGACTTTTGCTTTTCACTTGGAAGGGGAAAAAAAGCACAAGCAGCAAAGAGAAAAGAAAGTTAAGAATAAGGATATCTGATCCTAAGGACTTGAGCTAAAAGTCCACAGGGTTTGCTGACTTTATTAACCTCTCCTATCGCTGCTCGTAGGTAGGTGAAAAAAATGAGAGTTGATGAACCTGAATGAAATGGTACCACCCTCCAATCAGTGACGTCTCTTAAGACCAGTTCCCCAGATTTCATTACATATTACTAACCCAAAATCCTCCTCAAGCTTGCTTTGTGTTAGATTAAATCTGCTTGTCTTTCATGACTGTTCTTATCTGAGTCTGTGTGGGAAAGCGATAGAGATCAATCGCAAGGTTTGATTTGCCTTTTGTTGATCATTCTGAATGAATAAAAAAACATGTTGAGAGTTTTAAATTATATTCTAATGTCTTTTATTTTCATTTTATCTGTATTGTTTTACTCAGGTTTGGGATTGAGAACTTTAAAAGTACATATTAAATTTTCTTTTACATTAAGTAAATTGGTTGAGTGTATACTATTTATGGAAGACCATGCAAGGCTCTAAGAGATATAAAAGTAAATGCCATTTAGTCCTTGTTTTCAAGCAGTATATCAACTGATAAATGACTGAAGTATTCTATACTCAGGTATGATATCATACCAAATGATACTACATAGAACCATCACAGGGCAGTTAATTAAGGAAGAGACTGTTCCTTTCCAAATAAAATCTCTCGTCTTTCCCTTATGAAAGACAGATTTAAATGTCAAACAGAGAAAAGCCTAATAAAGTCGAAAAGCATCTAGTTTATAAATCCAGATACCATTCATCAAGCATTTATGAGTTACTGAAACTAATATAATGTAATAATATAGCACTTTTGCTAACATTATTGCATTTAATACAATTAAATGTGAACTACATATAGAAAGACAAGAAAATATTTACAATACGAATTTAACATGTGCGGTATTTGAGTGGTCCTACAAACTGGTTTATTTTTATTGGCAAGGAATATGAACAGACATTTCACAGAAGAGAAATTCTGAATGGCCAGCAAGTGATGTTCAAGCTCATTCTCAGGAAAATGCAGATAACAAAAATTTGGTTCCTCATTTTACCTATGATATTGGCAAAAAATTGAACTTTAACAAGTGTACTAAGAAGCAGGCATATCTAACTGCTAATAGTTTAAAGTTCTAGCATTTCTAGGGTCAGTGTGATAGGGAATCTACCACAATCCAAATAATCTAAAAAAACTTTTTTTTAACCTTTGACCAACAGTTCCACTTTGATGTGCCTGTCCAACAAAAAATTTGTGCACACGTACCCAATCCTCTAAGTGTAGTCACTGAAGTATTGTTTATAAGAACAAAAAAGAATGAAATTAATGTAAATGTATATTAATAAGCAAATGTGACAGTTGGACTATAAAGAAAGCTAAGCACCAAAGAATTGGTGCTTTTGAACTGTGATGTTGGAGAAGACTCTTGAGAGTCCCTTGGACTGCAAGGAGATCCAATCAGTCCGTCCTAAAGGAAATCAGTCCTGAATATTCATTGGAAGGACTGATGCTGAAGCTGAAACTCCAATATTTTGGCCACCTGATGCGAAGAACTGACTCATGTGAAAAGACCCTGATGCTGGGAAAGGTTGAAGGCAGGAGGAGAAGGGGAGGACAAAGGATGAGATGGTTGGATGTCATCACCGACTCTATGGACATGAGTTGGAGTAAACTCTGGGAGTTGGTGATAGATAGGGAGGCCTGGTGTGCTGCGATTCATGGGGTCGCAAAGAGTCAGACACGACTGAGCGGCTGAACTGAACTGAACTCTAGCCTTTTCCTTCACAGAGTTAGCACTCCAGGTTGGAATTTTGCTTATAAAAGGTTATTCTGTTTTCTTTTGAAATTTTTGTAAGAAGCAGCTTAATTTTAGAAGGGTTTGTGGTTATCCTGGTGTTTCACTTGAAAATATCTTTGAAAATGAGACCTTGCAGGGAACATGGAAGTTTCTTTCTTAACTGCTAAAATGATCACTTTATGCTAATTTCCTTTTTTCTTTTATTTGAGATAGTTTTGCTCTTATTTAAGATAATTTTTAGATTGAAATAGGTCCCTTATACTTTTTAACCTTTTAAGTATAATTGAAAGTCTACATATCCAGAGAAATAAATGTAGATATAGGACTTTAATATGAGAATTTTAAAATATTCCTTAATTCTTTGTTGGTGACTTTAAACTTAGTAAAGCTTTCTTCCTTATTTGTTTCTCTTTTTACCTTTAAGTATCTCAGTGTAAAAGTAGTAAGGGGGTGTGATGTGAGGGTAATAGTAGTATGGAAATATTTTTACTTTTTGGTTACACTTGTAGGGTGATCTGATGTCTCTGAAAGGTTACCAAGTGTCTACTATTTAGAGTATTGGGCCAAACACTTTGTACACATTTTCTCCTTTAACCATCACAGCAACCTTTGGAAATAGATATAATTATCATCCCTGCTTGACAAGCTAAGGCTTAGAAAGGTTAGAATCTTTATAACTGAGGAGCTGCAGAACTGGCAGTTGAATTTCAGTTCATCTCACGCCCTTAAGCTCCATGTCATACAGTCTCCCACAGCATTCTAGGAGGAAAACTTTTCCAATGAAGGCTTCAAAAACACTTGCTTTATTTCTTCATTTTCTTATTCCTTTATCTTAGAAACGGTTATGCAGAGTACAAAAAGCAGTTTTTAAGTGTTTATCTAGCTTTGTATAAATCTGCCTCTGTCCAAGTGGACATCATTTGTACCTCTGTCAGTGTCCTTTGTAATGCCCTTAAAAGAAAGGATTTTTTGTGGGTTAGGTTCTTTTACTATTTGCTTACATTAGAGTTTTGATTCATTATATTCTGAACAATTTCAGTGCCATACTATCTAAAGTGACAAGTGTTTTTTAATATATATTCTTCTTATCTAAAATAACAAAGTTTTGTAATTGCAAAATGTAGCCACTTAACTAAAAAAGCTTATCTTAGGGTCTTATGAATTTCTGGAGTGCCTTTTTATATTTGATTTTCTTGGGGTATAAATCTGTAACTTCTGCAGTTTGCGGCTAAAGAAAATTTCCAGCAAATATGAAATGAAAAAGAATAAACACATATGTACCTATCATACAGTTTTGATAGTGTTTTACATTGACTTTCCATTCCATTGTTAACTGGATTTTTTTTAATAATAATGGGTTTTCTTCTTTGTGTTCAAAGGGCAGCCATTCTACAAAAGTGGAAGCTGTGGTTAGAACTCTGATGAGAATCCAGCTTAGAGACCCAGGGGCTAAGGCTCTTGTTTTCTCAACGGTACAGTCAACATCCCCAGTTTTAACTCAGACTGGCTTTCTGTTTCTAATTAGGTTATATCTGAGAACTAACTATTAATGTTTGCCGTGATGTAATTGAGATTTAGAATTACTGATTGACTTTTCCTTGTTAAATTTTTTTTTCTATATCCATTTAATAGAATTATTTTTAGAGAAATTTGATGATGCTTCACAAAGCAATTCCCATAGCTGTATTTTATGTTTTTATATTAATTTTACTTAGGGGTTTTCTTATATTACTATTTTAAAATTGAAATCTATAAACTTGAAAGTCATTTCACAAATGTACTTGGTTAAGGAAAAGAAAATTAACCTATTGAATAAAAGGTATTGAGTAGAACTTCTGGTTTTCAATTTTGAAACATAAATAGCCACATCTATTTATATATTGCATAATTTATTTTCTATTATTATGTTTATCTTAATTCATTTATTAAAGATTTATGCTCATTTTTTTACCCTATCTTTAACCAGCAATGATTTAAAATATCTTTCAGGATAGAAAATAATATTAATGGTATTACACTTGAAGTTTTTGTTTTTGTTTACTTAATTCTGAGGTATAAAGCTTATTTTGGTTTAGTCCCTTTTCAGATCTTTTTTACATGAAAGCTATGTGTAAATATTTGGTTTTCTGTTTTCTGTGTTCTTAGTGGCAAGATGTATTAGACATTATTTCAAAAGCTCTCACTGACAACAACATGGAATTTGCACAGATCAGTCGTGTTAAAACATTTCAGGTATGTCAAGAAGATTTTACTCGTGTTTTTTGGAGTGAATTCAGTTACAAACTGAAACTGCTCTTAACTAGCTTACTTGCATTTATTTTTGTATGTCATATAAACCACAAAAACAGTTTGAGTTCTTGATTGCCTGTAAGATTAACATTTAAAGGCAAAGTAAACAAACTGCATCTACGTTCCATCTATTCAGTTATACCCATAGCAAACCATATTTAAAGATCTTATGACTTGAGGTCCGTTTCTTTAACATAGGAAAAGATGGCCTATAGTACACCTTTTGAATGGACAGAGGCCTCATGCCCCTAAAATTAACTTCTAGAAACACTGCATTGGGCAGAACTGCATATGGTCAAATTGTGCTTACCTCACACTCAGCACAATGACAGATACAAACCTAAGAGAAAAACACCAAAAAAAGACCAAGTGGAAATTTAGCAGATTCATGTCTCTTATACTCACTCTCACACTTTGTTTCTCTCACTCCTTCTTTCCTCTAAGCTCATATAGTTTCATTTGCATACATCACATACATGTATCTTGTGATTCTTCTATGTATTATAAAGAACACAAGAGGTTATGTGACACTTTTTTTTCTTAAAGTCAAGCCACATGATTTTGTTTGCTAAAATTTGTCATCTTACATTTAATTTTCTTAATTATTGCCTTTCACAATGACCTGGATATCGTTAAGCATTTTAGCATGAGCTATAGTATCCTGCTTTTATTTTTAACTATCCAGCTAAAATTTAAATGTACCTTTCTTTTTTTAGGAGAACCTGTCAGCATTTAAGTATGATCCCCAAATCAATATTTTGCTGCTGCCCCTGCACACAGGTTCTAATGGATTAACTATCATTGAAGCAACTCATGTGCTCTTGGTGGAGCCCATATTGAACCCTGCCCATGAGCTTCAGGCCATCGGAAGGGTGCACCGGATTGGACAAACAAAGTAAGGAGTGAAGTTAACCTCAGTCGCATTTGCTCCTGTTTCTAAGATACAGATCAGCATTCAAGCTCTACGTCTATGTGCGTCTAACCTATTCATTTTTAGTGGCTTGCTTATATATTAAATTTTCAGTTCTTATTATATGACCACAAGATATTTTGAGATTTCCAGTGACTCTCCTCCAAACCGCAAATCCCCAAATGCTCTCATGTTTTTGTCTTTCCTCCTTCAGAAGCTACCCTGGTCACTTCATCAAGATAGTTTCTTAAAATACCTAAGGCAACTATTAAGCTGAAGGCATCTGTCATAACTTTGAGAAGAACTGATTTTTGATTGGCTGAAGTAGCCAGTATTTAAAAGAAGCCATATCTCATGCATATCTGTAAACAAAAAGCTCTTTTATAAATGCTTCCCCTTAGGAAACTACAACCTTCCTGATCCAATATAAGAGATAATTAGTTAAAGTAAACCTAATAGTAAATATTATGTAGTATGTACTACTTTTATTCAAATATCAGAGTGGATAATTATCCTTTATACAGCCTCTCAGATGCACTACCTTCTGGATATTAGATACTTTCAATTTGTTCTAATGCATCCATACTCGGTTCAGATCAGTCCTTTAGTCATGTCCAACTCTTTGCGGCCGCATGGACTGCAGCATGCCAGGCTTCCCTGTCCATCACCAACTCCCAGAGCTTGCTCAAACTCATGTCCATCAAGTTGGTGATGCCATCCCACCATCTCATCCTCTGTCATCCCCTTCTCCTCCTGCCTTCAGTCTTTCCCAAGATCAGGGTCTTTTCCAGTGAGTCAGTTCTTCACATCAGGTGGCCAAAGTACTGGAGCTTCAGCATCAGTCCTTCCAATGAATATTCAGGACTGATTTCCTTTAGGATGGACTGGTTGGATCTCCTTGCAGTCCAAGGGACTCTTAAGTGTCTTCTCCAGCACCACAGTTTAAAAGTATCAGTTCAGCACTCAGCTTTCTTAATGGTTCAACTCTCACATCCACACATGACTACTGGAAAAACCATACCTTTGACTAGATGGACCTTTGTTGGCAAAGTAATGTCTCTGCTTTTTAATATGCTGTCTATGTTGGTCATAGCTTTTCTTCCAAGGAGCAAACATCTTTTAATTTCATGGCTGCAGTCACCATCTGCAGTGATTTTGGAGCTCAAGAAAATAAAATCTGTCACTGTTTCCATTGTTTCCCCATCTGTTTGAAGTGAGGGAACCAGATGCCATGATCTTCATTTTTTGAATGTTGAATTTTAAGCCAGCTTTTTCACTGTCCTCTTTCACTTTCATCAAGAGGCTCTTTAGTTCCTCTTTAACTTTCTGCCATAAGGGTAGTGGCACCCATACTAAGCACTAGTTAAATAAATATTGATTGAACACTTGCTGTATGTCAGCTATTATTCTAGACACTGGAGGCTTCCCTGGTGGGCTCAACAGTAAAGAATCTGCCTGCAGTACAGGAAATGTGGGTTCAATCCCTGGACCCAGAAGATCCCGTGGAGGAGGAAATGGCAACCCACTCCAGTATTCTTCCCTGGGAAATCCAATGGACAGAAGAGCCTGGCAGACTAGAGTCTGTGGAATCACAAGAGTTCACTGTGATTCAGTGACTAAACAATGATGACAAATATACTATACCCTGAAGATTCAAATTGAATAAGATATAATCTTGTTTCCCCAAGGAGATCACTATGTAATACAGGGAACAGATGATTTAACATATTACAGTAGAATGTGCAAAAATAAAAATACTGTGGTAACAAAGAAGAGCATGATTTCTCGTCACCTAGAGAGTCAGGAGAGGCTTCATTAGATTGAATCCTGAAGGAATAATTACTCCAGAGTTGGGCTAGACAAGGGTGCTCACACAGCAGAGAGTTGCTTGTGCAGAAACACAGAGGAGAAAATCAACATGATGTTTCTCAGGACCTTCGGGAGTTTGAAGTTGCTGGAGTATAAAGTAAGTGTAGAGGACTGGCAGGTCTTGTATGCCACACTCAGAAACATGGCCTGCTCTGTAAGCAGTGGCCTGGAGAGCAAATGATGACTTTAATTTTAAGCAGGAAAGAGACATTCATCAAGCAAAATATGACAAAGTAATATCATTGTAATAAATGCAAGACTGTTCTAAAGTACTACCAAGTATCATTTAAAATGTAGTTATGTCTTACTGGGTTTTTTCTTTGTTTGGTTTGGATTTTTGTGGGGGACGGGGACGGTTTTGTTTGGTTTGGGGCCGTACCACACTGCATGTGGTTATCTTAGTACCCTGAACAGGAGCAAACCCACGGCCCCAGAAATGGGATTGCAGACCACCAGAGAGGTCCCTGTTTGTTTTCACCTTGTCTTATATTTTTAAACACTGACTCCTTATCTTATTGTTTTCTAAAGCATACAGTGAACTTATCTCAGATGTAAGACCACAAGTCTATAAAGGCCACTCAACACTGCTTCACAGTCCTACTTTGCTTCCCTAGTATATAGATTTTTCTGCTTTCTGAGGAGAGGATCTGCAGTCTCTCTGTTCCTCCTCCTTGTTGAGGGAGAAAAGGGAAAACAGCTACAGTCAGAGTAGAAGTAACTCACCTTTCCATCACCAACTTGGTCTACCTCCAACAGGATCCACATAGTTCATTCAGTAAATTTTTTTTTCCATTTATTTTTATTAGTTGGAGGCTAATTACTTCACAACATTGCAGTGGGTTTTGTCATACATTGACAAGAATCAGCCATGGAGTTACATGTATTCCCCATCCTGATCCCCCCTCCCACCTCCCTCTCCACCCGATTCCTCTGGGTCTTCCCAGTGCACCAGGCCTGAGCATTTGTCTCATGCATCCAGCCTGGGCTGGTGACCTCTTTCACTATAGATAATATACATGCTCTTCTTTCGAAACATCCCACCCTCGCCTTCTCCCACAGAGTCCAAAAGTCTCTTCTGTACATCTGTGTCTCTTTTTCTGTTTTGCATATAGGGTTATCATTACCATCTTCCTAAATTCCATATATATGTGTTAGTATGCTGTAATGTTCTTTATCTTTCTGGCTTACTTCACTCTGTATAATGGGCTCCAGTTTCATCCATCTCATTAGAACTGATTCAAATGAATTCTTTTTAATGGCTGAGTAATATTCCATGGTGTATATGTAACACAGCTTCCTTATCCATTCGTCTGCTGATGGACATCTAGGTTGCTTCCATGTCCTGGCTATTATAAACAGTGCTGCGATGAATATTGGGGTGCACGTGTCTCTTTCAGATCTGGTTTCCTCAGTGTGTATGCCCAGAAGTGGGATTGCTCGGTCATATGGCAGTTCTATTTCCAGTTTTTTAAGGAATCTCCACACTGATCTCCATAGTAGCTGTACTAGTTTGCATTCCCACCAACAGTGTAAGAGGGTTCCCTTTTCTCCACACCCTCTCCAGCATTTATTGCTTGTAGATTTTTGGATAGCAGCCATGCTGACTGGCGTGTAATGGTACCTCATTGTGGTTTTGATTTGCATTTCTCTGATAATGAGTGATGTTGAGCATCTTTTCTTGTGTTTGTTAGCCATCTGCATGTCTTCTCTGGAGAAATGTCTGCTTAGTTCTTTGGCCCATTTTTTGATTGGGTCATTTATTTTTCTGGAGTTGAGCTTCAGGAGTTGCTTGTATATTTTTGAGATTAATCCTTTGTTGCTTCATTTGCTATTATTTTCTCCCAACTGAGGGCTGTCTTTTCACCTTACTTATAGTTTCCTTTGTTGTGCAAAAGCTTTTAAGTTTCATTAGGTCCCATTTGTTTATTTTTGCTTTTATTTCCAATATTCTGGGATGTGGGTCATAGAGGATCCTGCTGTGATTTATGTCGGAGAGTGTTTTGCCTATGTTCTCCTCTAGGAGTTTTATAGTTTCTGGTCTTACATTTAGCTCTTTAATCCATTTTGAGTTTATTTTTGTGTATGGTGTTAGAAAGTGTTCTAGTTTCATTCTTTTACAGGTGGTTGACCAGTTTTCCCAGCACCACTTGTTAAAGAGGTTGTCTTTTTTCCATTGTATATCCTTGCCTCCTTTGTCAAAGATAAGGTGTCCATAGGTTCATGGATTTATCTCTGGGCTTTCTATTCTGTTCCATTGATCTATATTTCTGTCTTTGTGCCAGTACCATACTGTCTTGATGACTGTGGCTTTTTAGTAGAGTCTGAAGTCAGGCAGGTTGATTCCTCCAGTTCCATTCTTCTTTCTCAAGATTACTTTGGCTATTCAAGGTTTTTTGTATTTCCATACAAATTGTGAAATTATTTGTTCTAGTTCTGTGAAAAATACCGTGGGTAGCTTGATAGGGATTGCATTGAATCTATAGATTGCTTTGGGTAGTATAGCCATTTTGACAATATTGATTCTTCCAATCCATGAACACGGTATATTTCTCCATCTGTTTGTGTCCTCTTTGATTTCTTTCATCAGTGTTTTATAGTTTTCTATGTATAGGTCTTTTGTTTCTTTAGGTAGATATACTCCTAAGTATTTTATTCTTTTTGTTGCAATGGTGAATGGTATTGTTTCCTTAATATCTCTTTCTGTTTTCTCATTGTTAGTGTATAGGAATGCAAGGGATTTCTGTGTGTTAATTTTATATCCTGCATCTTTACTATATTTGTTGATTAGCTCTAGTAATTTTCTGGTAGAGTCTTTAGGGTTTTCTATGTAGAGGATCATGTCATCTGCAAACAGCAAGAGTTTTACTTCTTTTCGTATCTGGATTCCTTTTACTTTTTCTGCTCTGATTGCTGTGGCCAAAACTTCCAACACTATGTTGAATAGTAGTGGTGAGAGTGGGCACCCTTGTCTTGTTCCTGATTTTAGGGAAAATGCTTTCAATTTTTCACTATTGAGGGTAATGCTTGCTGTGGGTTTGCCATATATAGCTTTTATTATGTTGAGGTATGTTCCTTCTGTTCCTGCTTTCTGGAGAGTTTTAATCATAAATGGGTGC